CTTTTTCAAAACATAAGTACAACTCCTTTTATAAAAATAAAAGTAACATCAATCAATGTTTTACTAAGGGGGAGTGATCGGAATATACTATTTTATTTTCCTTCCCTTTACAATAAATTTTCATCATAAAAAAGGGGGAGAATGTGGAAGAAAATATGCACAAATGTTTTGATGATGCCAAAGTGGTTATAAAGCATTGAAGAAGAATCAAGGTTGTGAGTTAAAGCAAGTTGATGCAAGAACAAAATCTCAAGTGTTACATAGATAAGTCTTGTCAACTTAGCTAAGAATATAAAAGAATCTTTTAGAATTGCAAGTATGCTTGGCCTTAAGAATAAGTTTTCAAAAACCTCAAATTAATCTCTTTAAATTTAAGCAAGTTTTAAATATTTTGAAAGGAAGTAAAAATGTTTTTGAAAGACTTAACAAAATCTTTAAAGAATAGTTCAAATCATTTCTTAATAGAGCTTTATGAAAGAAATTATTGATATGAAGTTTTCTACATAAATTTTTTTGAAACAATGCAAAAATATGTTATGGTAATCCATTACCAGACCTTGTAATCCATTACTAGAATAAGGAAACTTCAAAGTTCATATTCTGAATACAAAATGTGTTCTGGTAATCGATTACCAGAAGATGAAACTTCAAAATTTGAATTTAAATGATACAATGTTTTAAACATTTTGAACTTATAAACTGTTTTAATCGATTACCAAGTGTACTTTCCGTACTGTGAAGCCGAGCTCGAACTCGGTATCATAGCGCAGAATGACATCGGACGCGCGCTACACAACATCGGCCAAGATAAAGCCTACTATTTGAACAGGTCACAACCGACCTCAGGCCCAAGGCCCAGATAAACCCTAATTCATACTAAGGTACGTGCATTACTTATACGAGACTCATACATCCACAAACACTAACTTTAGCATCAGAGTCTCTTTTGCAGGTACCACCCCCACTTTGGAACAACGAACGTACCCAACGTAGGAGGCTCACCAATCTTGCCCAGCAGATCGTCCCTACGACCGATCTCCGGTAAGAACACCAAGTCTTGTAATCGATTACTAGAGTGTCTTTTTTGAAAAATTATAAAGAGTTATAACTCTTCATGAAAAGACACAACCCAAGAAATAATTGTCTATAAATACCTATAATTTTTCAGAAGAAGGTGACGAACTCAAATGTAAATCTACTAAAAAAACTCCTTGGCCAAAGTCATTTGCAAAAAACTCTAAAGAGTTCTTTAAGATCATCAAAGTGTAAAATTTACTCTTCAAAGAGAGTTACTACATTATACTCAATTGATCATTTGATCTATAAAGGAGAAAGGGTTTTTCTCCTTGTTAGTTTTTGGATCTCAACACAAGGAAAGGGAGTTCTAAGGTGTTGAAGGATTCAAGTCTTGTAAGAGTTACAAGAATAGTAAAAATCTCAAGTGAGAGACTTGAGGACTGGATGTAGGCAGGATTAGTCGAACCAGTATAAATTGAGTTTGCAATTCTTCCCTACACTTTTTAATTACTTGTTATTAATTGTGATTGAATAGTTTGCATCATCATTCATTCTTTACATATAAATTTATCTAAGGAATTGAATTTGTAAGAAAGTAATTCGAAAAAGTTTTATAAGAAGAAAATTTGGAAAACTTAATTCACCCCCTCATGAAAAAAATCCAAAATAAATTAGAGAATGAGGGATTTTTATAGAGAGTCTCACTCAGAGCTAGCCACTCTAGCTGTTTGAGCGAAGCTTGGCCACAAGCAAATGAAACATGATGAAGTTGGCTCGCTTAAACGAGACCAACCACTGGGAGAATTATGAAGGCTCAATTAAGTGAACCATCTTGGCCGCTAAAGCGAGTGAAGTGCAACATTCCCAATATTAAAGGCATATAAAAGACTCAAAATTTCTTGTCATCTCCTACCAATTCAAGGTGCTAACATGGTTTTGGGCATTGAATGGCTCCGCACCATTGGTCCCATCCAAGCTGACTTTGCCATTTCATAAATTTCTTTTACTTACGAATCTACACCTATCACTATTCAAGGTGATGTAGGTCCAACTAACCCAGGCCACCTATCAATAAGTGTGTCATACAGTTCAAAAAGATGTTGTAACTTCACCCCACTTTTTGCCTTTTCATTCCCTAGTTTCCCTTTGTTCGCAACAAGACTTTCCACAACCCAACATACCCCCTAATATCACTACATTATTGGATTTTTTTTCTTAAGCTTCATGGGTTACCTCCTAAACACCCACATGACCACCATATTACCCTTCTACCAACTGTTTCTCAGTGAACGTTAAACTCTATCATTGCCCTCATTCTTAGAAGGACATTATGACCATTCTCATACAAAAAATGCTCAATAATGGAATTATCATACCTAGTAATAGCCCATACTCTTACCTTATCATCCTTCTTGTTAAAAAAAATATGGCACCTAGAGATTAAGTGTAGACTATCATGCTTTAAATGCAAATATTATTCAAGATAGATTTCTAATACCTATAGTTGATGAACTCGTAGACGAACTAGGCAATGCTATTGTATTTTCCAGAATCAACCTACGTTCTGATTATTATCAAATACTAATTAAACCCATAAGACACTCATAAGATCGCTTTTCGCAAATTTAATGGCCAGTATGAATTTTTGGTTATGTCTTTTTAAGTCTTTCAAATGCACCATCTACATTTCTAAGTGTCACTAAAGACTTATTATGTCTTTACCTTTGTAAATTCGTTTTAATTTTTATTTATTTATTTATTTATGAAATTCTTATTTATAGCAACTCCTTTAGTGATTATTTAATTCATTAAAAGACTATTCTCTAATTATTGGTTACTAATAAGTTTTTTGCTAAGCGTTCTAAGTGCATTTTGGAGTACCTAGCATTGCCTATTTGGGTCATACAATTTCAAGTGAATGGGTTAGTCTGGACCAAGACAAAATCAAAGCCATTTTAAAATGGTTAACGCCATGCTCTCACTCAATTCTCTATACACTACAACAAAATAGGCTTTTAGTAGCATTTAATATAGCTTTTAGTGGTAATAAAAATTGCTACAAAATTTTTTACCAGCATCTCCATATTAGTCATTATATATAATGTCGCTAAATCATTTAGTAGCAATTATTTTGAATGCTGGTAAAAACTCGTATAATGGTCGAAAAAAGTATATAATTTTTTTTGGCATTTTTTACTTCTAGACGATGTGAGACTTGTAAGATGAGTACAAATACTCTTTAATTACCTTATTTATAATCGATGTGAAACCGTTATAAGATGAAAGTTATCTTCTACTTAAATATTCTTTAATTGTCTTATCTCCTAATTAATAATTTTTATTATTTTTTTAATGCACTCCCTCAATTTTAGGGACTATTGTGTTTGGTAATAATGAGTAATCTAATACAACTTAGAATATTAAGTTATAAGTTTAACTCAACCCTACAAAATAAACTTAAAAGTTGAGAGTTATCATCCATTTATATACTCTTTAATTATCTTATTTATAGTCGATGGAAAACTTACGTTTTTTTCAATAAATAATTATTATTAATAAATTTTTATATGATATAAATATATTTTTAATAATTATTATATATTAGTTATTAATATTTTTATTAAATAATAAAATAAAAATAATTAATTTATTGTCGTTAAATAATTATTGATTATAATAAATTTTGTTGTAACGACGTTTTCTTATGCCATATGTACTTTTATCGCAAATTTGTTAAGAATTACATTGTTCACGTCTCACCTCTCATAGATATTCTTATGTTCCCATAAGTTGGCTGAGAAGTATTACGGACCCTTTCATATCTGTCGACGCATCAGTGTAGTGGCGTACGAGCTTCTACTCCTTCTTCCTCTCGAATTCACCCCATCTTCCATGTTTCTCTCCTTCGCAAATACTATAGTGATAACCCTTCTCTTCGTATCAAATTCTTGCCCACCACTTCAAACATTATTAATCACCCCACTGTTTTAGACTTCCAATGACGTAACACCTCACCCACTATTGTTGGATACCACTTCTTTTTCCCAATCACTCACAAGCATTTGATTTGCCAGATAACACTAATGGCCCATCCACACCGTTTGTAGAAAGCACAATCCGTGTGTTATATCCTTATTCGTCCAACCTTGAGGACAAGACCTTTTTTCCTCCCTAGGACAATGATAACAACGAGCTAGGCCTATCAAGCCACGAGGCTCAAGAGAATTCACTTACTTTTACCATGGCTAAACGATTATTTCTAATCGGCCTAAGTGTTCTTTTCCTTTAAACCTCTCAAGGTATGAATGAGGAATGAAGTTTATTTTCCAATTTAATTTTACTTACGATTATTAGTAATTCGTAGCTTGAGTCTATCAGGATACATATCTATTCAAACCATTAAAAATATTATGAAAATTTTATTTGATATCAATATTCTTAAATACTTCATTAATACTTATCAATGATGCATATTAGAAAAATATCAAAGCTTTTAAAAATTTATGAATATCAAATATAACTAAATAAGACATCTATACACATGTTTAATATAGAAACATAAAAATATTATTTTTTGATGAACTAAAAATAGAAATTATCTTTTTTGTAGATGACAAAAATATTTTATTATATAAATATTAATGGATATATAAACATGTATCTTACACATATCATATCTTATATATTTTAAAATAAACATATTATTCTATACGTATCATTGCATCATAGATCTCGTTCCTAATTTCAGCATTTGATTCGTGTCTATACATGTTAGTTGCGTATTATATATAAAACACATACTACGTAAGGTGGCTTTTTAAAATGCGTTTACTTCTTCAAGCCGCCTCGATCTCTAATTTAAGAAAATGTGATAATCATATAATAAATTGCAAAACAATATCCTCTACAATAAAGCCATTGAATAAAAAATTGTAGGACATATATATAGAACGTTATTCTTTATTCATAGAAGCATAATATATATACATGGTGACTATGACTTTGGCACTGGAATTAACACACGAAATTGCCCTTTATGATCTCTCACCAGCAGAAGCCATAAGCATACTTAATTCACTTAGGCATGGCTCAAAGTTTGAACTCTCCAAATTCCTTGTACGACTTTGTGGTTAAAGAGGGCAATGGTGTGAAAGGTGTGGCAGAGTTAGGGTTACTAGAGGTTCCAGAGAGGTACATACAACCCCCAGAGGAACGAATCAAGAAGGAAGATTCAAGGATATGTGATGCTCCACCCATTGACTTGTCAAAGCTGAATGGAGCTGAGCATGAGAAAGTGATGGATGAGATTGTTAGAGCAGCTGAGACTCTTGGCTTCTTTCAGGTGGTGAACCATGGTGTGCCTTTGGAGTTGTTGGAATCACTCAAAGATGCTGCACACACATTCTTCAACTTGCCACCAGAGAAGAAAGTTGTGTATCGTGCAGAAGTTAGCCCTAGTCTAGTCACAAAACTTGGAACTAGCTTTATGCCTGAGAGAGAGAAGGTTTGGGAGTGGAAAGACTATATCAGTATGGTTTATAGAAGTGATGAAGATGCTCTTCGATGTTGGCCTAATCATTGCAGGTATGACCATCTAGATTCACTACAATATTATACCCCTTAATGTATCAAATATGGGAAATGTTATAGCAATCTTAAACATGTTTTTAACATGCTATTTATTCATTGAAATTTATTGAAAATATGAAATTTTAATTTGTGTGTCTTTTATTACTTAATAAGTCTCGCATAATTTTATAATTTTTAACGAACTTAATTGAGAATTGTGCATCAGAAAAATACTGTTAGAGAGTAATCCTACAAAGGATCTCATTAAATATTTGAATGATTTATCGTCTACTTGAAAGTTAAAAAAGTTGTTTGTTTAATTAACCTCAAAGAACATTGAAGTGTTCGGTTTGAATTTATATTAAGCAAAAAAAAAAATCATTTGATCGAAAGGTTAATTAAAATAAATTACATTCTAGTTATATTAAATTAAAAATAAAAGAAAAGGAAAAAAAAAGTATATATAATTCTATTAAATGTATTAATTTTTTATCAATCAAAAATTATAATAATGATAACTAGATTTAAATCAATAATTTTATGTACACTATCTCAATTATCATCACTAGGTGAACTCCAATAATTCATTTTACTAAGTTGGACGAAAAAAAGTATAATATAAATAACAGTGAAATAGCGGAAAGCATGATAAAATGTACAGAAGATATATGCAAGTAAAACAGCACACTATAGTTCGGTTTGAATTGGTATTTGGATTAGCAAACATCAACCAAAAATTTATTGGATCCCATCAATTATGCAAAAATATGGTCCATAAAACTTAAAGAAAATTATCTTTTTTTGTTGATTTTCAATTTTTTTGCATCGGTCTACAGTTTTTCTTTTTTAAAATTTTTATTGGATTGGATCTAAACACCTTACTCAAAGAAAAGTAATTTTAAGAAGTATGAAACTGAAAAGTGGTTAATTTACTAATTTAGCATGACAAAATATAATTTATTTTATATAATAATTATATAGCAATATTTTTTCTTTATTTCCTATTATTTCTAGAATGCATCTAAGAGCATCTCCAATCCTGTGGCACATCAGTTATGACTCACTTTATGGATTGCTTAAATTTTAGCAAAGTTACTTATAGAAGCAACTTTACTAAAAATTAAGCAATCCATAAAGTGGGCCAGAGTTGATATGGCAGTGATGTGGCACAGGAAATTGCTTATAAGCAACCCCCATTGCAGATGCTCTAAGAAACAACGAAAAAATTTTAATTTTGTTTTCGCTCTTTAACGTTCAAAACATTGGAATATACATATAAAACAATGTAAAAAGAAAAGAAGTTATATTTTAGTAATTATTTAGGTTTAAGAAATAAAAAAATGTTGTTTTCACCATTTAGTGTTTAAAATCTTGAAAAATAGTAAATAGAGTGAAAACAAATTAGTGACAATATTTTTATAATTATCTACAAAGAATAGAAATTAAAAAAAAAAAAAATCTTGAGCCAGTCAAGCCTAAAATTAGTTTTCTAAAATATTCAAAGCTACAATCTGACTTTCCTGTATTTTTTGTTTTATTTAAAGAATTATGATGAAACAATTTTTTTATTTAAACATATTTAAAAAAAATTAAAGAAAGTTGTTTTGATTAAGTGCCACTCTAAACTACAACAGTTTCAACAATAGCATGTGTTGGTCTAAAATATTTGTTTCTATAATATTTCAGGGAAGTAGTACTTGAGTATTTGAAATTATCATCAAAGATGGTTAGGGTGATCATAGAAATCTTGATAAGTAAGCTTGGGGTCTCACTGGATGACTCAAAGGTTGAAAGTCTTATTGGAATGCAAACAGTGAACATGAACTACTACCCACCATGTCCAAATCCAGAACTCACAGTGGGTGTAGGGCGTCACTCAGACCCAGGAACTATTACAGTGTTGCTCCAAGATGGAATTGGAGGCTTATATATTAAAATGGAACAACACAATGATACTGGAAAAGGAGAGTGGTTGGAAATTCCACCAATCCCTGGTGCCCTAGTCATCAATGTTGGTGATAGTTTACAGGTTTGTTATCTTGAAATTTGATATTCGATGTAAATTTCAGCAACACTCTACACAATTTCTCTTTTTGATTGAATTTTATTAAAAAAAATTATAAAATTACGCATGACACATCTAATTTAATACTTCATTCTATCCTGATTTTGTGATTTTTTTAAATAAAATTTCAACCAATAAAAAAAGTATTGTTAGAAATTTTAATTTTCTTTAGATTAAGAACTAGCAAAAATAAAATTTAATTGGAATTAATTGATGGTTTACAAGATTTTGCACTTGCAACACAATTTGGATTGTCATATGGAAATTATTAACTTTTATGATAATTATATTGAAAGTTATATTTCATATGTTATTTAATTAGTTGATAATGGAAAATTGTTAACGGTGCATTAAAATTAAACTTGAACATATCAATGTACTACATTAACTCTTTGGGGTAACCCTATTTATGTCACATGTAAGATATTGAGCAATGGGAAGTACAATAGTGCTGAACACCGAACAAGGACAACTAGCACCAAAACAAGGGTATCAGTTCCAATTTTTATTGTGCCCTTACCTACTGAAAGGATTGGCCCATTGCCAGAGGTGGTAAAAAATGATGGGTTGGCTCGATATAAGGAAGTTATAATGCAGGATTACATGACCAACTTCTTTGGGAATGCTCATGAAGGAAAGAAGTCTCTTGATTTTGCTAAGATCAACTATGCCTAACTAGTATAAAGAATGTAATGACTTAGAAGCGTTTGTATCTCATAATATGTTATTTGCCTTATTTTTCTCTTTTTGTATAATATGTAGAGTTAATTACTTATACACTACCAGTGTAAAGTTTTTTTTACATTAACAACCAATCATATCTTTTAATACTGTCATGTCAGTTGCTTATTTAATGAAATAATAATAAAATAAAATGATTTAAAAGATATGATTGATTGTCAATGTAAAACACTTTACACTGATGGTGTATAAATGATTAACTCTAATATATAAGCAAATTAATCAGCAACAGTCAAGTTTCACTGGTACAAATTAATAGTAATCAATTTTAAGATCTTATAATCAATTTTAAGATCTTATATAGACTATGTCCATAAAAAAAATTAAGTAAGCAAATTAAACAACCCGTAACATTTAATATCGTATTCGTTGAAATTGAAAACAAACTCAAAACCTAGCCTTAGTCGGGTACTCAAAAAAAATTACTCACGGTGAGTAATTTCCTTACCTACTATGTGTGTATTCTTATTTTCACTTATATCTTTCACATAAGAAAATCGTTAAATAATTAAATTAAAAAATGTAAAAGCACTAAAAGAAAGAGATTGAATAAAAGAAAAAAATAATCATCAAAATATCAACATCACAATTATTCACACATGTCATGGCAGGAGCATACACACGTGCCAAAAGGACCATATATAGGCAAGGCGGACCCAACTCCGAATATAATAATTATACACTAATAATTATACTTTTGCTTTAAATCCCTATATTTAAGATTTCATAACTTAAAATTTATTTTTTGAATTTCTAAAAACGCACTTTAAAATTTTCATTTCTAAAAAATATATATAAATATAATTATTTTTTAAAGTTCATTTCTAATTAAAATATTTTTATTTCTTTTATCAAAATATATTATAGATGTTTGTACCATTTTCCATAGGTTCGCCAATTGATTGATTAAAGGGTGTATGTTACTTGCATATTTTGTGTTTTTGTACTTGTGTGCCTGTTTCATTAGTCTTATATATGTATATGTTTCTATATTGTTATGTGGAAAACAAAGGAAAGTTTTTTGATAATGTTTTCCCAATGAAAAAGGTGAGGACAGAGACGAGGCGTGTAAGTTTGAGGAGTAAGTTATGGAGGTTATAGGTTCAAAGAAAGGGACTTTGTTTATTAAATTTTAGGACATAAAAATTTAATTAGAATGCATGTGAACTCATGAAATTGACATTCTAAAATAGTAGGAAGCTTTGCGTGATATTATTATTTGCGGTGTTAATTTCGGTTAGCTTGTCATGAGTGGTGACGATTCATAAGTCATAATAATCATGATTGGTTTTACATTCCCAACTTCACAAAACATTATTTTTTTCTAATATATATATATATATATATAGAGGAGGGTTCAAACGACACCAATGTAACTTTTACTAAGTGTTACACCGTTCAATAACTTTATATTAAATGTGAATTTTGAAAATTCAACCATTAGATTAAAAGTTCATATCTTTTAGATCATATATGTCAAATTTTATATTAATCTAAGATGATTTGATACTTCATTCTCATAAAACAAAATTGACGTAATATATACATTTCAAAATATACTAAAATATGAACACTTTGATTACCTTCAAATTGTTGTTCAATTTTAACAAAAATTGACATATATGATCTAAAATATATGAACTTTCAATCTAACAGTTGAATTTTCAAAATTCACATTTAATATAAAGTTATTAAGCGGTGTAACACTTAGTAAAAGTTACACCGGTATCATTTGAACCCTCCTCATATATATATAAAGAATTATATCATGATAGACTTGAATGGCCAAGCATGAAAAGCATTTCATAGGCTTCATGTTGATATGTAACACTTGGCTTGGTCAGTGATGGATTCTATCCATTTAGCATTATGAGCATATCACATAGTACGTGATTTATCATGATAGAAGTATCCAATTGTCCATTATAGTTATGTATGAAGTCTGAATATATGATGTTGTCGTTACTAATATTCCTAGTCCAAAATCACCGAGAAATGATATTGATGTATAATTATAGTTATTGATCGAGGAGTTGAAAGAATTATGAGAATCAAAAGTGAAGGAATATGATACCTCAAAAAAATCACATTTCAAATGTATGCAACTCTTTTATGAACTATCAAAAATTATCTTGGGTTTGTCATGCTCTCTAGTTGGAGCACAAAAAGGAAAATTGACATATAACACTTCATTAGTTTATTTGAAGCATAGTCATAAGATGTTGCATGGATCATCATGTTTTTTGTTAAAAAAATTAACCAAACCAAATCATTTAAAATTGAGTCGAATTGATCCAAAAAAAAAAAAAATAACCGATCCAAATTGAAAATATCCAAACTGAACCGGTTTTAAAAAAATCCCTAAACCCTAAACTTGTACACTACACACAGTACCCGCACGCTACAACTTGCGAAATGCGAAATCGCGAACGAAAGTTATGAAACAAAGTCGCGTTAGAGTTTCGACATTTCGCAAGTTGAGAATGAAATAACTATCGGCTATCGCATTTAATTCTCTACCTCTCTGGTGGCTGGTGCTGGACTATTCGTGGTGGCTGGTGCATTTGCTTCTCTGCATAAACTCTATTTCCTAAATTTGGTAGAGACCTTCCCTTTTGCTTTCTCTTTAATTTAGTTCTTAAAATTTTAAATAATTAATTTTTGGTGAGGTTTCAATTTCAGGTGCTCTAGAAAAGTCCATGGGTACTGAGAGATAGTACGAATCCTGAAATATATTTTGAAGGATTAGGTATTAATGTATTATTGGCATTTGGCATGAGTCATGCATGTACTGTTGTTATAAATACTTTCATTGTTTTTAGTCTTTTAAAAATATGTTTATAGTCATGTTACCAATATTGGGAGTTGGGACTTGGGACAGTGATAATAGGATGGGTGCATTTATGTAATTGAGAAATATTAGAATGCAATTTATTTCACTCTTTTTGTTGGTTAGGCTTAAGGATAGGAAATGAAATGAGATAGATGGATGCTTGTCATTATTATTCAAACTTTTCCTGTATATGTAAAGAGAGTGTGTGCCTTCTATTTTTGAAATGTGAGAATTGTGAGAATCCAAAAATTTGACTTCCTTTTGTGCATTATTTTTCAACTGATATCAACAAACTGTCGTGGTCCTTTCTTTTTCTAATCACGTGTAAGAAAAGATACAATTTTAAATCAAAATTCTACTTTTTACTTGAAAAGATTTACGTGTAAGAAAAGATTTAATATTATTGTTTAATTTAGTGCATAGTTGAAAACCATTACATGATGCTGAAACACTGGAGTACTGTGGTGCGTTGTTTTTTTTTTTTTTCTATTCATGAAACAATAATGTTATCCAAGAGTATCTCGTGCACACAATAATAAATGATGGTCCAATAAAATATGCAACATCATCATGCCATTTGGGTTACAATTAGCTAAAATTCCCCTGAATACTTTTGAGTTTTAATTAACTAAACAAAATAACCTTAAAGGAAACATTCTAAAACATTGAAAAGTGTAGTTCTGCTTAATTTTTCTTGGATTCCTATTGTACCAACATTGGAATACTATTGATGAAACAGGACATTGTTAAAATTCATTACTGTTTCTTTTTCTTCCTTTCTCATTTTCAATTATTAAACATAACTAATTCTTGGACAGAGATGATATATTAGCCACATGATTAGTGATGACTAATTTCTATTATATTTTCCTCTTACCCTTTTATTATATTCCCCTTCTCATGTTTTAGCATGACAACTTAATCTATGATCTCAATAAATTAACATCTTGTTTTTCTTTTTTATTGCAGAACAACTACATGACTGAGCTAAATGAAGCTTTAGTTCCTGACACTGCAGAACATCTAGTTGAGCAAATATTACCACCTCGCGATTCTAAAGGGCGTAAGAATCGATATGATGTATGGAATCACTTTATTGAGGAGCCAAAGCCCAACATAGATAAGAGAGCTAAGTGTAACCATTGTAGTACATTGATTATGTTTGAGAATGGAACAAGTGCTATGCAAAACCATTTACGTAGATGCAAAGGTATATCAAATAAAATGGTGAGCAAGAAAAAAAAATCAAACTAATCTAAAACCATGGTTTCTTCCCCTTCATTGGCTAGGCCCAAAATTGACCAACAAGCATTGAGAATTGCAATTGTCAAAATGTTTGTGACAATGGATCTCCCCTTTCGATGTATCAAGCATGAAGTTTTTCATGACTTTTTGAACATTGTAGCACCCTCTCTTAATGTCATCTCACGTACTACTCTAGCAAGTGATATTTATAGACTTTGGGATAGTGAAAGAGAAAAGTTAAAGGAATTTATTTCTCAAAACTATGAAAGGGTTTGCCTCACCACAGACACATGGACTTCATCTCAAAATTTGAGTTATATGTGCTTGAATGCTCATTTTATTGACAATAATTGGAAGTTGTAAAAGAAGGTGTTAAACTTCTGTCAAGTCACTAGTCATACAGGAAAGACCATGGCTAAGAAGGTTGAACATTGCTTGAGTAAATGGGGGCTGAATCGTGTTATTACTTTGACAGTTGATAACACCTCGACAAATGATGTTGGAATCCAATATTTAAAAAAAGCATGATGTTTTGGAATAGTTTGGTTATGAAGGGAGATTATATTCACATGCGTTGTTGTACACATATTCTGAATTTGATTGTAAAAGAAGGTTTCAAGGATAACATTGATGCTATTTTGAGAACTTGTGGTGCTGTGAAATATGTACGATCTTCCCCTTCAAGGTTGTTTAAATTCAAGGCGTGTGTTGAGCAACAAAATATTAAATACAAAGGCCTTGTTTGCTTGGATGTGGAAACTAGATGGAATTCTATCTACTTGATGTTAGAGGCTACATTGAAACTTCATAAGGCTTTTGAAGAGCTTGAGATGTAAGATAAAAAATATATTGAAGAGTTACGAAAGGTAAAGGGTGTTCTGTAACGCCCGATTTATATAATAATAATTATATCTTTTCTTATATAATATTTTCGCAATTATATCATTAACATTTTTTTTTTGAAGATAAAGATAAAGAAAAAGAATATTTTGTAAATTTATTACATGACATATTGTTCTAATATATTTACAATAATGTATTATTTTACACAATATTTCTTTCTTTCACTTCTATTACAAAATATTTACATTAATAGTGGAAAGAAAATTACAATTAAATAATATGGTTGACAAATAAAATTATAACAGATCCATCAAATAGCCTCCATATTCCAATTTCTTCCAAGTAGGACAGCAGTAACAACAACTGCAAAATGATTTGGAATCTCAAGTAGATTCATCTATTTTATAATATATTTAATTTTAAAAACAAAGAAAAGAGAGGAGTGAGAACAATATCCAATAAATATAATAACTCAAAAGAATATACAAAATTATTTATAATCAATATTAAACATATATATATATATATATATATAAATACAGATCATATATTAGATTTTCATGATAAAATAAAATTTGAATTATACTTGTAGTGACTAGTCAGGATAAATGAGCATCATCATAATATCAACCAATAAAAGGATATTTCACCTTAACCAACAATAGGATATTTCACCTTCATTTCTTACTCATTTAAATCCCCAAGGTCAAACCTCCAGCTACAAATAATTCAAACTTTATCTTCTATGGCCATAGAACAATATTTATCTTCATAAATACGTGAAGAAATAACAACAAAACGAGTCCAAGATATCACAACTATAACATAGTTGATTATAAATATATTTACAATAAATATATCTATGTAAAAAGAATATATTAAGAATACCAATAATATAAATAAAAATGACAATCATTATAAAATAATTAAACAATATAAAATATGAACACCTTAATAATTAATATGGATAAAAATAATCATAAGTTAAACAAATAAATGAGGTTAGGGACACCCCACTAAATAAATATACATAAGAAATAACAAATAAATATACATAATAGTATATAAAATTTTAAAGAGATAAGGTTCTCCTCCCCCTTACCTGGATAAGCAGGAGCTAAAACTTGAGCAGAACCTCCTCCTCTAGATTCCCTCTTTCTTTCTCATTCTCTGTCTCTTTCTCTCTCTCTCTCTTTCTTTATCTCACTTCTCACTTTTCTTTAAAATTTCCCTGTCCAATTTTGTTTTCTCGAGTTCTTGTTGAATGTGTTGTTGTTCTGTTCTAAATTCCGTAGGTAATATTCCGTAGATATTACCAGTTTTTCTTATAGTGGCACACAAAATGAACCAAAAAGAGAACAATTATATTGCAATGGTTCAGAGGATGAGTGGAATTGTTCAATAAGTCTCATCCAAAAAGAAGTATAATTGAGACTTAACAACTCCCCAAATTTAGAACCTTGCTTGTCCTCAAGCAATAGGTAATTAATGTAGCAGATAACAAGCAATGCATGTGTGTCAAATTCTACATCCTAGTTCACTTGTATTTTCTTTTCGCAAGCATGAACCTTAGATGGATTTTTAGTCACAATTATTGCAATAGAACATGACAAGGTGCAAATAAAGGTTTCAAAAGAGATCAAAGAGCTGAGAAGAATTAATGACTATCTGTGTATGCATCCTCACTAGGAAAGTGTTTCTCTTTATGCATACTAGTGTATCAGGGTGAGTGTTTCTCTCTAGTCTACTACTCACGCCACATGATTCAACTTTGCTCTTCGTTTCCAAATGAAACCAATGGTAAAACAAATGCAGGCACTTATCACAAGGTCTTTATTAGGGCAAATCTGGGTTAAGCAATAGCAATCTCATGGTTTTTCAAGGATTGAAGTTGCTATGGCTTAAGAGAGCAATTGAGATTTCTACAATGATATCCCTCTCCATACCCCAATACAACATTTCAGCACATGCCCTTAACCGGATCCAAGCCATTAGCCTTTATGTGATGCATATTTACACTCTTGTGTCTTAATATTTTTGCTTTTGTTTTGCTCTTTTTTTTTTTTGAATGGTTGACCACATACTTTCTTCTTCCCAAAATTCCTCATTCTTCAACTCCTCCAAACTTGTTTGATGTCATCAATTTTCTCTCTTAACCAAAGTAAAGGTATGGTTAATTTTTCACGGTTTGGGATAAGTGGAAGGTGTGGTGTTTAGGCTTAGGAAGGTATGAGTCAAGTGAAAAGTGGGGATGGCTTTTTGGCTTAGATGGTTAACAAAATAAAGGAATATGAATGCCTTGATCATATAAATGCACAACACTAGCAAACCACTAGGGAAACTCAAGCAAAGTCTATTGCAACTTAAGCCTAGTTCACTCATCAGTGTTTAGGCTCAAACCTCACCCGGCTATTCATCCACAAACTATCAAACTCAACTCAGTTCTATGATCAACATTGAAACCCGTATGCAACTAGTCATGAACTAAAGGTCTAACATGACTTGAAAATGTCTAAAGTACATGCACCACAAATATCAAGCAAACCACAATCCAGAATCGACCACAAGCAAAGCAAGTATCATGAAAGTCCTGGTAACCGGAAGTGGTTGCAGAGTGTAATCATGAAAGAACATGGTGAGCACAAAAATTATACACAATGATGACCAAGCAAATATAGCAAAATGGAGAATATCCTTAAACCAAAATTAATCACAACATACATGCACACGGAAATGGACTATGACAATGCAACATAAAGAAACATGATTGAAAATAGATAAATATTGGTTGTCAGGAAAGTTGCGCCGGGCGCAGAACAGATTCGTCGGGCTTAGTATCAGTAAACGTCCAAGAGGCTCCAAATCTGATATCGCACCGGGCGTGACTTAAGCGAGCCCGGCGTGATGGTAGTCAATTTGCCTAAGTTTTCTTTAAGAGAAGGCCTGATCTCCACCCAGAACCAGAGTTACCTCATTCCTCACACTCCCAACGAGATGTACCTTATATTTACCCACTCAAGCATGATTCTGACAATTAACAATTAACACAAAACAACATATACCACACAAAACAACTATGCATAACAAACATTAACACTGAAATCTAAAACACGAATGAGATGAGAAACACATAAACAAAGTTCAGATCTCTGGGTTGCCTCCCAGGAAGCGCTTGTTTACTGTCCCGAGCCTGATAGTGACCAACTTGAATTGCTCTAATTCTCCTTCTCCTCCTGTTGCTATGGTTCCTCCTTGCCCTGTGCTCAATCTCAGTATTGCTCAACAACTGCTTAGAGGGATTGGTCAATCTAGTTCAATAGTACCTTGCATACAGGAGAAAGCGGAGGACTAGAGTACAGAGGTTAGCTCCAACAATTCATTGCTAACATAAAAATAAAAATAACAACAAAAGAACAAGTCAAAAATAGTTATAAATACTAAATTGCCTTGCTAATCCTCGGCAACAGCGCCAAAAACTTGTTGAGATTTTCGTTGAAGTACTTTTGTTATAATTGTAAATCAGTTTAATTCTATCAACAGTCTCAAACATGGCAAGTATACCAGCCGTTCAAGTAGTAAAATTATCGTATCCATAGGGATTAGAAGGTAACATAAGCATTTAATGACTATTCGTGACTAAAGAATGATTCCAAATTTTAGTTTGTCATGTATGTGAATTGAAGAGCATGACTACAGGAATGAAAGGTATAATAAATATTTGTTTGTGAATGGAAAAGGATAGAAATGGGATTGTGATTTGTGTGAGATTGTGGGGTCAGATTTCACCAAATGTCAGACTAATGAATCCTTAATCTCTTGTTACATACATTGCTTAGTCAACCCATAAGTTTACTCAAACCTAATCCCTTAGAGCAAGAGCCTAGGTGCGGATATTGAATATCAATCCCTTAAGTACCCAATACCTACACCCGCATTATAGATTAGGGTTTAAGACTACTAATGGGTCAAGCTCTATCCCTAGATACAATCACCACTAGGCATATGTTTCATAACTAGTTTCAATGGTATTTCCCAATACTCAATGGAACCTTAAATCATGCAAAGGGTGATCAATCCAAAGCAAGCATTAAGCATAGAAACGTACACAACAATGAATGAAACAACATGTATATATATCATTAAAATGTAAGGATTACATTAGAATTCGTTGATTACATCTAACCCCACAAAAAATGGAAGAACCACTCAAAACAATGAGGGTAAATACAAAATAGAGATGAAGGGAGAAATGAAGAACCGAAGGAAAGACCCACACACGAACGGCTCCAAGCTCCGGGAATCCCTTCCACAGCTCCTAAAACGCGCCCAATGTGTGAATGAGGAGGAGAGCCCCGAAAATGTCTTCAAATACGAGCTTGGGGAGTCATATTAGGGTTTACGGGCCCGGCGCATAAGTCTTCGCGCCCGGTGCAGGCCTTCCAGGGAATTTAAGCACTATCTGCCTCAGGACACGCCCGGCGCAATTCCTTTTACGCCCGGCGCAATGCCTTCCAGAGGTGAGATACTCTGTTTCGCTCAAGCCCGGCGTGGGTCATCTTGCGCCCGGCGCAGAACCTCTTCTCTGCTCCTTAGCTTCTTAGATTTCCAATCCTATGGGTCTTCAATCCTCAAGTTTCTAGCTCAATACCTGCACAAAAAATGAGGTGTATTAAGGTATTGTTAGCTAAATTTGGGCTAGTTATATCTGCACACAAAATGAACCAAAAAGAGAACAATTATATTGCAATGGTTCAGAGGATGGACCTCATGAAGAATTGAAATTTGACAACCACAATAAAAGTAAACCCTCCCTTTTTTAATTTCTTCTCTCTTTATTTCATTCTTACCAAACAAACTAACTTATTTCCACACACCCATTTCCATCCCTTCCTTCCTATTTCTCATCTACTTCATTGCAACCAAACAGAGCGTTAGAATATCCGTACTTCAGAGTATATAGTCAATCTAAAATCCTCTTTAGATTATACATAAAATATAAAATGAAAGGTAGTAATCATTAGAACTCGAAAATTAAAAAAAAAACTAATACTTTTCTTTAAGTAATTAAAAGGATTATCATATTAATTAAGGAGATTTAAAAAATTTCTCTTGTAAAATTGGTGGTAAAAGCCTAAAAAGGGCAGTTTTGCTGTGTTACAAATCTTGTTTTTCTGATGAATTGAGTCACCATATAAACCTTTGAATTCCAAGCTCATGATCCCAATGAAATGGACAAAATAGAAACACCACCATTGTAAAGATATTGACACCAATACATAGTGTGCCTGTGAGAATCCAACTATGATCATCCCTATTGTTACAATGAAGCACCAGAAAATAGAATGGTATAGTGTAGTAATTAATTTTCAAGCAAGAAAATCATACACAAGGGAGGCAAAAGTGGGACCTCGTTATGAAGCTTCTTTAGTATAAAAGGCTTTGGAAAGAGCATCCATGGAACTGCAATTAAAGCCCAAAGCAATAGCACAACCTGCATATTATGAACAGAAAGAAATTTAAAATGATATAAACAAGGAAATGGAACAACAATTATCGAGCAACAAAGCAGCAAAGAAATGAATCTTACTTGAAGTGGCCTTTGGCCCCAAAACAATTAATTCTCGCCAAGATTGTCGAAAGGGCTTAAAAATATGTAAATCATTACACGATAAAGGTCTGCCTGAGAGCCAGTACACCACTTGACAATGATGAGAAGGGAAAGATATCCAAATAGACCACTTGGTTTCTCCACTCCCCCGATAAATGTAATGCTCGAGCAGCTACCCCCTGGAATTGAATATCTATATAATCCACCTCCATTAAAAATTAAAATTAAAATTTTACTATTTTATTTTATAATTAATTAAAACGCATCATTGAAGAAAAATCAATAATTAAAAGAGAGGGAGGGAATAGTGCGTGTTAGTTTTCATTTCAACTGCGCAACATAAAACACTAACTCCAAAACCCTGAGCACAGGCGGAGTAGGCAGTGTTGGGTTAAAACCATCTTCTTCTTCATACCATAGAAACCAAACAGAAGAATAAGAATTATGGGCATATTTGAACCTTACAGAGCAGTCAGATGCATCACAAGCAGCGTCCCTTTCTCTGTTCAGAGACTCGACACTGAAATTTATCACCCTCGTGCAAAGGACCTTCGCTCCTGGACCAGTGCGTCTCGTCGGAGCATGCAAATCGCAACCCCGGTATAGCGTCGTCCACTGCAGCGATCGAATGGCTAAGGGTTTTGTGATGAATCGCATGAATCTGGGCAAAAAGGTCTCACTATGTCATTGCTCCTCCAACAACCTCGCTCCTGGACAAGTGCGTTTCGTTAGAGCGGAAAATTGCAACCCTAATTCTAAATAATACAAAATCTCAACGTCTTCAGCAACCCCTAACTCAATGCAGTCTAAAACGTCGCGTTTCTTCTATTTAGTTACCTACGGAATTTTTTCGTAGATAACTAAACTTTACCTACGGAAAAAATTCCGTAGGTAATACTTTGTAGATAACTAAAAAATACCTACGGAAAAAATTCCGTAGGTAATATTCCGTAGATAACTAAAAATTACCTACGGAAAAAATTCCGTAGGTAATATTCCGTAGATATTACCAGTTTTTCTTATAGTGGCACACAAAATGAACCAAAAAGAGAACAATTATATTGCAATGGTTCAGAGGATGAGTGGAATTGTTCAATAAGTCTCATCCAAAAAGAAGTATAATTGAGACTTAACAACTCCCCAAATTTAGAACCTTGCTTGTCCTCAAGCAATAGGTAATTAATGTAGCAGATAACAAGCAATGCATGTGTGTCAAATTCTACATCCTAGTTCACTTGTATTTTCTTTTCGCAAGCATGAACCTTAGATGGATTTTTAGTCACAATTATTGCAATAGAACATGACAAGGTGCAAATAAAGGTTTCAAAAGAGATCAAAGAGCTGAGAAGAATTAATGACTATCTGTGTATGCATCCTCACTAGGAAAGTGTTTCTCTTTATGCATACTAGTGTATCAGGGTGAGTGTTTCTCTCTAGTCTACTACTCACGCCACATGATTCAACTTTGCTCTTCGTTTCCAAATGAAACCAATGGTAAAACAAATGCAGGCACTTATCACAAGGTCTTTATTAGGGCAAATCTGGGTTAAGCAATAGCAATCTCATGGTTTTTCAAGGATTGAAGTTGCTATGGCTTAAGAGAGCAATTGAGATTTCTACAATGATATCCCTCTCCATACCCCAATACAACATTTCAGCACATGCCCTTAACCGGATCCAAGCCATTAGCCTTTATGAGATGCATATTTACACTCTTTCATCTTAATATTTTTGCTTTTGTTTTGCTTTGTTTTTGTTTTTTTTTTTGTTTTTGTTTTTTGTTTTTGTTTTTTGTTTTTGTTTTTTGTTTTTTTTTGTTTTTGTTTTTTGTTTTTTTGTTTGTTTTTTTTTTTGAATGGCTGACCACATACTTTCTTCTTCCCAAAATTCCTCATTCTTCAACTCCCCTAAAGTTATTTGATGTCATCAATTTGCTCTCTTAACCAAAGCAAAGGTTATGGTTAATTTTTCTGCAAAGGTTATGGTTAATTTTTCTATGGTTTGGGACAAGTGGAAGGTGTGGTGTTTAGGCTTATGAAGGTATGGGTCAAGTGAAAAGTGGAGATGACTTTTTGGCTTAGATGGTTAACAAAATAAGGAAACATGAATGCCTTGATCATATAAGTGCACAACATAAGCAAACCACCAGGGAAACTCAAGCAAAGTCTATCATGCAACTTAAGCGTAATTCACTCACAAGTATTTAGGCTCAAACCTCACCCGGCTATGCATCCACAAATTATCAAACTCAGCTCAGTTCTATGATCAACATTGAAACCCGTATGCAACTAGTCATGAACTAAAGATCTAACGTGACTTGAAAATGTCTAAGGTACACACACCA